CAGTGCGTCTTATGGAGCAAATATAAAGCTGCCGGTCCGGTATTTTTGCGGCCACCATGTCAGAATACCGGGCCGGCCGCTCAGCGCAGCTGTTGTCTCCTGCAGGGCCTTACCTGTTCTTCGCTCCAGCGCTGCACAGCCTTCCCGCGCTGGCTTCTGTGACAGCCGGGTGCCCACTGCGCATGTGCTGCGCTTTGTGAATGATCCGGTGTCTTCTGGGACACATGAAAGGTCCCAGAAGGTGCCGGGCCAATCACAAAGCGCAGCGCTTCTCTCACATGCGCAGTGGGCACCCGGCTGTCACAGAAGCCGGCCCGGGAAGAAGAGGGAAGGACAACTCCGCGGAAGTGGGAGCGGGTACCTGTCAAATTCAGGTACCCGCTCCCCCTCCCTCCCCAAAGGTCAGCAGTCTCAGGTCATTCCCTGCACTGTCTGCAGTCTCTGGTCATTCCCTGCACTGTCTGCAGTCTCTGGTCATTCCCTGCACTGTCTGCAGTCTCTGGTCATTCCCTGCACTGTCTGCAGTCTCTGGTCATTCCCTGTACTGTCCGCAGTCTCTGGTCATCTCCTGCACTGTGTCCGCAGTCTCTGGTCATCTCCTGCACTGTGTCCGCAGTCTCTGGTCATCTCCTGCACTGTGTCCGCAGTCTCTGGTCATCTCCTGCACTGTGTCCGCAGTCTCTGGTCATCTCCTGCACTGTGTCCGCAGTCTCTGGTCATCTCCTGCACTGTGTCCGCAGTCTCTGGTCATCTCCTGCACTGTGTCCGCAGTCTCTGGTCATCTCCTGCACTGTGTCCGCAGTCTCTGGTCATCTCCTGCACTGTGTCCGCAGTCTCTGGTCATCTCCTGCACTGTGTCCGCAGTCTCTGGTCATCTCCTGTACTGTGTTCGCAGTCTCTGGTCATCCCCTGTACTGTGTCTGCAGTCCATTGGTTCAGAATATTTTTTTTTTCTTGTTTTTCACCTCTAAAACCTAGGTGCGTCTTATGGTCAGGTGCGTCTTATGGAGCGAAAAATACGGTATATATATATATATATATATATATATAATTTTTTTTATTAATATATTTTGAAATATATTGAATTTGGCCACAATTGTAGTATTTCAAATATATGTCAATATATTTGGGAAATATCCTAATCTGAGTGTTGTGTTTCTATTGAAATTGCTATTTTTCAGAAATATTTTTGCATCTGTAGCAATGTCATCTTGTATGATATGTCCCTGAGCTGAACTGGTCACACTGTCATACACAGATGATCTCAGAATGCATGTGTCCAGGGGCTCCCAAACAGCATTCCCCAATGATGTCTTCCTTCATGTGCTACAAATGGTGTATCTTCAAGCTATTATTGTCCTTGTAACAAGCCTTTGGAGAGGCAGTCAGTTCAGTCATAGTTCTTTGGTTGCCTGTAGGACTTGTGGTCAGAAAGGTGACAATGCTTGGGGCTATACACAGAGAAGCATTCTAGAATGTTTTTTTATACATAAACCAAATGCAGAAACAACGATGTGCATAGATATAGCGGGAAAGGGTGCAACTATAGCCTTTTAAATTTGGTAAATAACTGCAAGGTCTCTGTCAAGGGTCCTCTACTGTAACATCCTGGCAAGGGCCAATTTTTGTTTTTACTGGCTCTCAGGTCAGTCCTACCTGTCAGGTGGAAACAGTTGGGTGTCCGATTGCTTCCACAGCCCCTGGTGACGTGACCCGGAAAATGACAGACGTGTATGACGTCACTTCTGGGTCACCGCTGTCACTGTCCTCAGCTAAAATAGCCGGGGAGACTAAAAGACCCTGCATGCCTCATTAAAGAGAATCTGTCACCTAAAATCATCACATAGAGGACTTTGTGTCCCCTATGTGATGGAAAAAAAAAGTTAAGTAAAAAAAATTATTTTTTGCTAAAAAAAAAAAGTTTTACCTAAGTACATAACACCCCCCCCCCCCCCCCCCGAAAAAATGTTGAGGCCCCCACAATTATGCACATATGAATGTAAACATCTGTCGGGGGACGCCTACACATGAAAATGTTGATTGCGATGCACATGTTATATATCGCCGCACACGCTGGAGTGAGAACAATAATTCTGGCACCAGACCTCCTCCACTAAACTGATGACCTATAGGGCTTTTGAATCTTCGCCTATAGAAAATATATGGTACTGAAATTTGTCGCTATTTCACAGGCACATACAAATTTAAGGGTTGTCATATTGGGTATCTACTCATAACAACCTCTACTTTTATATTTTACCAAAAATGGGGGGGTGATTTATTGAGCTTTTGCATTTGCATTTCCTAGACCTTTGCGGTAATATCCTATGACATTAAAAATTGGAACTACCACTATTTTGTTCTATATGGTGCCTGCTTTCCGAAAATATGGACTGTTTGGGGGTTTTGTGTAATCTTCAGGCCCAAAATGATTTTTATTAAATGTGTGCAGAAAAAAAATGTCTCTGGCAGCGAGAGGGTTAAAACAACCTATTAAGTTTAAAATAGAAATGAAAGTCAAAACATTTGTGTATAGATACAAAAACATTATTAATACATTTTTTTTCCCCCCTTTTATAAATAAACACATACCCTCTGTTCTCAGCAGCACATACAGATGAGGGAGGAGAAACCGCAGCATACTAAGCTTTGCAGTAATAGGCTGTGCAGGGGAGGGGGGTTGGCGTGTGAACAGAGGTCTGATCATTGGAGGGCAGCACATGGAGATCCCAGCACAGCTAGAGAACTGACCACGCTGTGTTCTCATGCCTAGCGTAGTTCATCTTTAATAGGAAAGCAAAAGGATAGGCAGGGATTTCACACAAAGGAAGCAATACCAAGAGAACAGGATACTTTTTCATACAAGTACATGATACATCAGGTATATATCAAGAATAGGAAATGTTGGCTTTACATATTTTTTAAACTGAAAGTTCAGCTGGGCTGTAAAGTACACCTGTACTGCACAATGATTATGCTGCTTCGCTGACCACCTTCTGAAAATGCTAGTCACATGACCCACAGTAAGCAAGTAACAGATGAAGTCAATGTAAGATCTCCCAACGTATATACTTATTCCAGGTCTTTAATACAATTACTGAAAGCCATCAAGTAAGTCAGCATTTTTACAAAAGGAGGCATCTGACCTTAAAGTGGAACTTCACTCTCTCAATCAACATGGACTATTTCTAATCCTTATGCTGTTAGCATTAGTAAATGGATAGGAAAGTATATAAAATGTACTTGTTTTAACCTTCTTTTACTTCCTGGTTTCCATGCCTAGGCAAATGATGTCATACATCCCATGAGTCTTCAGGAGGGGATGGAGGGTTCTCAGCTCAGCCAATACCTGAGCTAAGGACAGATAGAGTACAGGAAGTAGCTACTACATGAATCATCTGCCCTTACTAAAGATGGCAATCGCCAGAAATGCCAGAAGGTGTTTTTCAAACTGATTTCTCATCAAAATAAAACATGGAGACATGGATGGATGGAGGAGTTTGTTTTGAATATTATAGTATTATAAAAAATGAATTATATAGCATTTTTGGTTTGTGGTACACAGATGCAGTGCAGATCCACTTTAAGTACAGGATTTCTTTTATTATTTTCTTTTAAGTTACCAAAGAACAAGCCAAAACCACTGAGTGTGCAAACAGGGGGCCACCAACATAAGAAACTGAACACACAAAGCAGAATGTAAACCCTCCTGAAACAATTATCCACACCACAAAAATTTTGAAAATTAAGCAAATCTTTATTATGAATAAACATTCTGCATGAACACCCCTTGAATAAACCCCCATTAAAAAAACACCCTAAAATTTCAATAATTATGACACCAGTCCCACATCAACATTATTAAGTTACAGGGAATGCACGTTGAGTTGGACAGCCCTTGGTCAGTTCACAAAAATATGAGTGTCTAATATGCATTACTTAATATTTGCAATACAGCTATCGAAAAAATATAAAATTGTACTAAAAACATATATCCTAAAAGACTGCATACAGTCTGATAATGGTAACATATACAGTAACTGAAGCACATATATGGATAAGTTAGGTCTGTGCATGTAAGAGAGATGGTGGGGTTGACTTTCTAAGACAGGAGAGTGCAAAATTTGGTGCAGCTCTGCATAGAAATCAGTTTCCAGGTTTTACTGTCAAAGTTTACCTGAACACGATGAAGTTGGAAGCTGACTGGTTACCATATCCAGCTGCACCAGATTTTGCACTCGCAAGTTGTAGTAAATCAACTCAAGTGTGCCCTGGATCAGTCAATGGTGTAAAAAAGCCAAGCCAGGGGCTGGGGCCAGACATGTATTGTGGAGGTGGCTGCTTCATCAGTAACCATGTTCCACGGAGCCAGCTGGGAACCCTTACATAGTCCCCCATGCAACATGAGCATATTGTCAACTCCTGGCAGGTGCTCACCAATGACCAAGGTACTGCTGGAAATGATGTGTTCCACCATATATTTACATCAAATGCCTATGACCCAGAAGCTATGCGTTCTGCCATATGGGAGGTGAACTATCACTATGATAGAGCATTCAGTATATGATAAAGCATTAATGATGTTTTTGTTAAAAAAATTCTGGAGCTTTGAAACAATGATGTCTTTGATGTGTGACTGTCAATCAGCAAGAGAAAAGGAGGCATGGCCAAAGCCATGGGGAGGGGCTCTGACGTCACCACTGCAGTTGGCTCTTCTGGCGAGTACAGACACTGCTACCTTTTCTTCTTAACTAATTGCCGACCGCAGATAGCCGAATGACAGCTGCACTGCGGCCGGCCAATTCTGGGTGGACGTCATATGACGTCCTCCCAGAACGCGCTCTCCTGCGCGCCCCGGGGGGCGCGCACCCGGCGATCTCCGTGATCGTTGTGTCCTACGGATCTGATACAGCTGATCACGTGACGTGGTAAAAGGCCAATCACAGCGGCCTTTTACCACATGATCAGCCGTGTCCAATGACACGCTGATCACCGGGAAAATGCAAATGACGGTTCTCGGCTGCACTTTCCTCACGCTGTCAGATCGTGAGGAAAGTACTGCCGAAAACCGGCAGTTGTCAGAGCGGGGATCGGCACCGATCATCAGGGTCACTGATCACCGATCACCACTGATGATCGGTGCCCAGCAGTGCCACACACAAGTTCCGCCCACCTGTACCCAGCAGTGCACCCACCTGTGCCCAGCAATGCACCCACCTGTGCCCAGCAGTGCACCCACCTGTGCCCAGCAATGCACCGACCTGTGCCCAGCAATGCACCAACTTGTGCCCAGCAGTGCGCCCACCTGTGCCACCCAGCAGTGTCACAACCTGTTCCCAGAAGTGCCACCTACCTGTGCCCAGTAGTGCCACCCACCTGTGCCCATCAGTGCCACCCACCAGTGCCCATCAGTGCAGCCCAGCAGTGCTGCCAGTCAGTGCCACCAGTCAGTGCCCAGCGGTTGTGCCAGTCAGTGCCCAGCAGTGCCGCCAGTCAGTGCCCAGCAGTGATGTCAATCAGTGCTGCCTATCAGTGCTGTCTATCAGTACCCATTATCAGTGTCGCCTACCAGTGCCACCAATCAGTGCCGCATATCAGTGCCACCTATCCGTGACACCTCATTGGTGTTGCAGTACCGCCTATGCGTGCCACCTCATTAATGCCGCCTATCAGTGCCGCCTATCAGTGCCCTTCAGTGCTGCCTATCAGTGCCCATCAGTGACGCCTATCAGTGCTGCCTCATCAACGCACATCAGTGAAGGAGAAAAATTACCTGTTTGAAAAATTTTATAATAGAAACAAAAAAACTTTTTTTTTTTCAAAATGGTTTTGCACTTTTTTTGCATATAGCACAAAAAGTAAAGTGCCCAGCAGCGATTAAATACCACCAAAAGAAAGCTCTATTTGTGAGAAAAAAAAGATAAAAATTTCATATGAGTACAATCTTGCATGACTGCGCAATTATCAATCAAAGTGTGACAGTGCTGAAAGCTGAAAATTGGCCTGGTAAGGAAGGGGGTATAAGTGCCCGGTAGGCAAGTGGTTAAAGGCTTGTTTATTTTAGTGATAATGTGAGTGTGACAGACAGAGTTTGGCAATAAAAGGAGTTTTATAAGGATAAAGCACTATCTTCTGTTTTTCTTTGCAATTATATATGTGGAGTTTGCTGGAGTAATTCTGGAGAATTGTTCCCCTGGAGGGGAGAAGGAGGGAAGATTCATCCAACCATCCACACACCCATAGATCCATACAAGATAATGAGGAGAGGAGTGACATCAGGTTAACCAGGAAAACTGCGGTTTGGAGAGATTGTTTGAAGGTGATAAGCAGCCAAGCATACTTCATCCTTTTATAGGATAAACTGCGTGATTTAGCCTGTTGAGGCTGGAGACGGAGGTGAGCGCATGATAGAGCTGTATTTATGCTGCAAAAGTTTTTGGAACCTGGAGTGTATTCATCTAATTAGCACAGATTTCTCAAAAAGAAAGAGGACTCTTATGTATCAGTCTCTGGATATACAATGATACATTTATTTCCATAGTATAAAGGGATTGTATAAGCACAGTGGACATTTGAGGGGGGGAAGTTTTTTTTTTCACATTTTGTTTTTTTCACACTTTATTTATATTAGATTTTATTTTAGTTTATACACGTAATCAATGTGTCTTTGATGATAATAATAGAGGAGCGCAGCGCGATATTTATCTATATATTGGTTGACACTATTGTATGAGTTGGTGTGAAGTGTTTGCGAACCTAAAAATTTTTTTTTTTTTGATTTAATATATGTTTATTGAATATTTTTGGGTTGTGTTTGCAGAGAATTTACTGTATTGGCTCACAGGTGGACAGTTGGTTATGGCCAAAGCCTACTCCTTTCAGTGACGGTAATGTAGGCGGGTACTCAGGAGGAAGAGAGGAGCCTGATTGGCCAGTCACATGACAGTAAGTAGAGCAAAGAGGAAAAAACTGTCACAAGACAGATGTAACCTAGTCCAGAGATTTCTGAATGCCCATAGAGGCCATGAAGGGGGCACATACACTTCAGGCTGTTTGTCTTTAGAGGTAGAAACAAATTTTATACTGTGCAAAGGAAGAAAAAAAAAGATGCAAGTGCCATCTGAGTGTAGCGGTAATTAAACAAAATTTACTGCTCTAAGTAAGCAGCTCACAAGATAAAAGTGATAAAAGGCTCATCAATGTCCCGTCAAGGGAATCTGGTCTGCAGACCAGGGAATCAGTGGTGTCATGTCTGCCTACACCACTCCCCCCTGGAAGGCTTTGATCCCCAGCTGGGGCATCTCCATAGGAACCTCTGATTTTCATGTCACCACCTCTGGCAGGAGTCTGCAGACCAGATACCCTTGATGGGACATTGATGAGCCTTTTATCACTTTTATCTTGTGAGTTGTGGGACATTGATGAGTGTTTTATCACCTTTATATTAGTAGAGCAAAGGGGACCTGTCATCAGCAGAGTAAAGAAACCAGCAGCCGTGGCTGTGCTTCAGGTGGCAGTGCGCCCTAGACAGCTGCCTTGTTTGCCTAGCAGTAGCACCGGCCCTGCTTGCAGTGGGGCTCCCCCTGCATTGCCCAGGGTATTACTAAAAAGCATTTTATCAGTGACAGCCACCCCCGGTGTAGCGGTAAAATGAGTATCCCATGAAGATATGTATCCCCTGAAGCAACTGCACACGTGCCGGTTTCAGGTCGAAGAAGAAGATTGCCAAAATAGAGCTGCTACAGTTAACCCCTTACAGGCTACAAACCGCTGAAGCTGATCCCGTGGATCACTATGGGTTGCAAGATCAGTTAATCCCATATAGGTTCAACCTATACAGGGTTAACTGATCTTGCTACCCATAGTGATCCACGGGATCAGCTTCAGCGGTTTGTAGCCTGTAAGGGGTTAGCTGTGGCAGCTCTGTGCTAAAGTCGGAGATTGGCTTCTTCAGCCTGAAACCACATGCACAGTTGCTTCAGGGGATACATATCTTCACGGGATACTCATTTTACTGCTATACTGGCACCGCTCCTTCCTCTCTGGAGGGGTGACACCTCGTGTTACCACACCGAGTGACACCAACCCTAGGGACGCCTCTATCCTCACCAATGGTCCTGCATTGCATGTGACAGGAGAGTTCAACCACCAAACCGAGTGCCTAAAAAAAGCAGGTTAGTGGAACCAGATGCATGAACAGGAGGAAACCATTAAAAATGAGCATTTACGACTTGCAGCGCAGGTAAAGCTCCACTTGTAAGGATCATTTTTAAACTTTCCTGGAGTTCAGCTTTAATGCCTGCCTGGCATGGGGAACTGGCCAGGAGAAGGTTGATTTACATTGGGCTGGGTGGGAGGGGACCAGGGGCGGACTGACCATTTGGAAACTCGGGCACTGCCCGAGGGCCCGGGGTCAGTAGGGGGCCCCATGAGATGCCCCTGGTACCTTTTTCATAGGCTTTTTTTAGTTTGGGCAAGGACACAGGGGCCCCATGATCCCCTATTGCCCGGGGGCCCCATGAGTTGTCAGTCTGCCCCTGGGAGGGACTTGAGGGTACTAATAACTGGCATTATGTAACTGTACTTTTGAATAAGAACACAGTTTCAAACTGTTCTAAGCAAACCAACGGTGGTTAATGCTTTGCCTAGGCTGTTTGTAAAAACAGGAAGTTGGTTTGTAGTAGGCATACATCAACATAAAAACCTAAAGGAGAAATATCATTGAAATATACTGTATACAGAAACAAAGACTAAATTTCAATGTAATTGAAAGTGAAGCTTTGAAATGCATGCAGGGATCGCTGTGTACCGGCTCAGAACTTGTATTTTTCACCCAGGCATTGCAGCAGTTCACCCTACTTGCTTTTGTTTGTAACTAAGGCTCCGAGATCTCCCTTCTCACCTGTCTATAACACAAGAGAGATATTTTAAACAAACCAGCCGCAGGCTACTTGCTGTCTCACGCACACAGAAAGACTCATGTTGAAAAAAAAAAAAAGTGCACACAAAAGTTTCTTACAGCTGCCAATCAGATTCAAGCCTGCCTTAGAGGCCTGGATCCAGGAAACAGAGAATATGAAGTAGCACGGTACAAATTATGGGACATTCACTCCTGGGGGACATATGAAGAGCTCTATGAAGGCTGCGGCAGAGAATTACAACACACTCACAGGTAAAATGAATGCACTCCTGACTTTAGTACATAGGGTGTGCTTCTTAGATCTCATTAGTAATGTTGATTGCTATTCTGACCTGTAATTTTTTATTATCGAGTGTTTTTTTTATTGCAAAGTTTTTTGTACATAAAGAACAAACAGTACCAATTTTTTCCATTCCCAGTGTACAAATACATAAAAGTAATGCTATAGCGTTCCAGTACAATTCAGATTATTAAGCACCTGATTATTATTATTATATGGTTTGCTCAGCACTTTACAATATAGCGGGAGACAATACAGCAACAATACAGTTTAATACAAGAGGGATAGGAGGGCCCTGCTCCTTGGAGCTTACAATGATCATCATATAAACCGCAAGGAGTTATATTTCTAGACAGATATCTTTGGGTGGGTGTTAATTCGATAATATATAGTATAATCCTATATTTTGTATAAAAACCCACACTGTAATCTTAATGAAACATCTAGGTTGTGCAGAAGAGGTGATGCCAATATTACCCACGTTAGCCACAGAGACTACTATTTTGAATTTTATGGGGTCATCCCCTATGCTGGTAAGTCAAATTTTCCCTTTCAAGCATATACGTAAGTAACCGCATGTTTCCATTGCAGGAATGACAAAGGGGTGGGGTGGGGTGGAAGCAGGGTTCGAACTGACCATTTGGAAACTCAGGCACTGCCCGAGGGCCCGGGGTCAGTAGGGGGCCCCATGAGATGCATACAAAAAAGGAGGGTTGTGAAAAGAGATTCACAGAAAAGCGGCTACATAATGAACAGAACGTGACACTAAGGGAATAATTTCCAAAAATTATGCTTTATTACACACAAATGAATATGACATATGGGCATTCGCCCTGGTTTACCATCACCTCAGTATGAGACAATACACACAGACCTAAAACCATTTAAAATGACACAAAGACCGGTCTAAATGTATGTGTAGCAGGGAAAATGGCTACATGAGTCTAGTGTCCCTGCAACACAAACACACAGGTGAACACTTCCCTAGGGAGGTGTATCCAAAAATTATGCCATGGGCATACCATAATAGAGGATAAAAGGGATTAAACAGTAACCATAATGGCAAATGGTGAGTGGATTGTTGCAGGACATTAGATATATGGTCCTCTGTGATCTATATGACCTATATATCTTCTATAGAGTGTGAGCTCTGTCAGTGACTTCCCACATATTGTTTGTTTCACTACAGGATGGGGACATCATGGTGC